TTATTCTGGTGTTCTTTACATCCAGAAGATGATTATTAGCTAGGTTTAGGATTGGTCTTAAATTTTAAAAATCTAATACACACTATTACATGTCAAATTACTTTTAATTATCTTCATTGTCACTTGAATGCAGAGAACAGTTTTTATTCAAAAGAACAACTCTAGACACTACCTGGAAGGAAAGTTGATGCCTTTTAAAGCAAGACCTGCATGGTGATGTAAAGAGGGTGAATAACATAAAATATAAAAATTAGAGATCAGGAAGGCACATGAAACAAAAGAAAATGGAGTGATGAAATTGTTCACTGACTCCATACTCCACTGAGTGATTAAGTGACCAATGCCCAACTACATTCTTCCTTTAACCAATTATAAAGGAGAAACTTAGGTTATAGGAAAACACTTCCCTATGGTTAAAGTCAAACAGTGAGAATGTTCTGGAACTTTCTAGATGTTTACATAGGACAGGAAACATTAAGAGTGATTCCGGCATAGATCTAGATACTAAATCACATGCTAGGACATTTCCTTCAGACCCTCCCTAGGCTGACAAGATGTATGTGTGTCTGTGATGAGGGTAGGGAGCAGAGAACAAGAATGAGAATATAGGAAAGTGTATACTATGAAACAAATACATTAGGCATACACAGCTCTATTTTTATAAAAGTTCTGTATAACTTCCTTTTCATTTAAATATATATGTATATATATTTGACAACATTTCATATCAATAAAGATAAATTTCTATAACTTCCATTCCTAACCAGGTACATCCTATACTATTGTAATTTTATCTATCACTATTACTCCTGAAACAATGGGGAAATACATGCATTAATTAGCTTATAGTTTCATCTTAAGCCTGACTTACCACAGGCTATCTACTCATAGTATTTTCATATATACTTTCCAGATATATTTTATGTGTGTTTATATATAATTCAAAAGCTATATGTTCATATGTGCAAATATGTTTTTGTTCAAAATGGAGTCACATTATACATACTGCTATTGTCCGAATGTTCCCCAAAATTCATATGTTGAAACTTAAGTGTTAATGTAATAGTATTAAGTGGTAGTGCCTTTGGGAGGTGATTATTTGTATATCTCAATGTATCTTTTTATTTGTCTTTAATTTTAGTATTGTTGAACAACTGTGGATGTTTGCCATTGCTTCTCTCTTTTGAATCATTTGTTAATAAAATTAAACATTACTATTATACCTGGTCAGATTCATTCCTATGTCAGTCACATTATTTATATGCTATTAAATTCTGTTTGGATTATTTCTCCCATTTTCTGATGCCTTTAAATGCATTGTGTTTGTTGATAATGGCTTTTCAATTTCCCCATATTATTCCAAATGAGGTATATTATATTTCACTATAAATATAGTGAAATGACCACTGGTATACTTTTGTTTTTTGCTGATTTCTCACATATGCAAAAATAGTCTCTTTTATTTCTTTTTAGCACCTCTACCCCTACCTTACACCCAACTTCCCTCCCCTAATCCCGCCCTTGTTTCCTTTCTATGATTCGGGGGATTGGCAGTTGAAATTCATTTCAATTAATACAGTCTCCTCCCTGTGGGTCGATGATATAAACAGACCATTTTAATCAATAAGTAAAGAACCATGGAGAAGTTATTTACACTCATGAGACTGAGTTTTGCACTTTTAAATGGAATTAATGAGCCCAATATAACATCACTGTTGTGAGAAGACTGGGTAATTCTAGGAAATGTCTGGCCCATAGCAGGCTTTCCTCAATTGCTACTCTCTGCTATATTCCACCTCCTCTTTCCTGTGAGATAAATTACGTTGGCATTCACTTAACAACATTACTGTCATAGAGAGCAATGATAAGTATGAGAGGAGGAAAAGGAAGTGTGTGCTTATTGTCACAGTGCATGACTGAGGTTTGGTGGCATTTTCATGTTATGGCATGTCACCAAATGCAGTTGAAGGATGGGGAGAAAATTAATTATTTTATTTTATTTTGTGTATTGTCCTACCACTTCTTTTTACTGTTAAAATGGCAGAGACAGAATTTTCCATGGATCCTAAGAACAAAATAATTCCATAATTTAATATATATTTGTTGACTGATATAGTTGTTACTGTCAGACAGAGGTCAGGGAACTGCAGAAAACCACTGCTAATCTCACAGATCCTCCAAGGTCTTTGAGTACAGACTTACAGAAGAATGCTAGGACCATGAAAAAATTTTGTTTTATATCTGCCAGATTCCACATAAAGAACGGTTTTTATTTCCTTTCTATTTAAAAAATATCATACAAATACATAGTATTGGTGATATCTAAACCATATCCTGCTGGCAAGAAGTTTAGGAAATGTAATTCACAGGAATCCAGCTTCTGCAACAAAGGAGAGAACATAGAAGAGGATGAAAAAGCTCTGCAACAAAAGAGAGAATACAGACGAGGATGAAAAAGCTTCCAACTGCCAGATAACCTTATCTGCGTAAGTCTTCTGGATTTTACTTCTTTAACCTTTCTGATTCTTTCAAGTACCTGATATTCTACATTAACTATTTTCTGTTTGAAATACCTAGTGTAGTTTCTTTTTTGCTGACTGAATCTTGAGTGATGCCCACTCCTCCAGAGATTCTGATTGAATATTTCTTACATAAGTGGACTGTGATTCATATTTCAAAAAACAATGTTTTTGAGAGATCCCTCCATATCAGAAGGAATAAAATCACACCCCATTTGTATGCTTGCCTTGTCCTACTAGCTATTTGAGCAGATTATTTCTTGTGTCTAGCCTATCCAGTAATTTCCTTGACAAGTAAAATTTGATCTAACTTACATAAGGACAAGATAGAAGACTAGAGAAGCTACCCATTGACTCAGGTAATCTTGGGTAAATTATTGAACCACAAAAAACAACATAAAGATAAGTGCTTAAGAGCCCAGCACTCCAAGTCTCTCTAATTGGTTACTCAGTTCTAGCCAACTGTAGCCATTCAGGAATGCACAACCAGTACTGCCAAATCTTCATGTTGTTAAGAGACTTTTATTTTGCATGAAATATCCCTTTCAAATGTTGATGAGGACATGAATAAACAATTGTGTATGTAGAAGAAAACATATCATAAGCCAGATGTAGGGACTTAGAGACCTGGACCTAGGGATCCCTACCTTTCAACTTCTGTCCTAGGACTTTACTGGCCTGGAGCATGAATCACCGAAAACAAGACACTGTCTTTTGTCTCAAATGGTCCCAGGTTATTGAGAAGTACAAAGTATATAATTCATTACAATAAAAAAATGCACCAGATATAGGTGTAGCACAGAAGGTGAAATTAACTCTAAGGAGGGACAGAACAGGTTACCTGGTGAGGTGAGGTGTTGTCTGGGTTTCTAAGGGTGTATAGGATTTCATTAGGCAAGTGCTTAATGTGGGGAAAAAGGTGTTTCAGGAAGAGAGAACATATACAATAACATTACATCATGAAATAACATGGTCTTCTCAGGAATCTAAGAAGACTTAGGGATTGCTAAATCAGAGTAAAAGCAGAGGGGAGAGATGGGGACAGTGGAAAGAGATGAGGTCAAAGAGGTGAATGGGGATACTAATAGTGCAAAATTGTGTATTTTGACTTTGTTCAATAAGCACTGGACAGCCAGTGATGACTGACAATATGGTAATAGATTGGAGGGATTGAGATCAGAGGAAAGAAGACCAGCGGGGTAGATGCCATACTGCTGACCATACATCATGAGTACTTGAAATGCAGCAATGGATTAAGACTGGAAAGGAGAAAATACTTAAGGGAGACTTGCACAAATGCACCAGGAGGTGTGCCCATCAATAAGGAAAAGGGTGAAACATTCTACAGCATCGACAGTGAATAACTACAGCTACAAGCAACAACACAGACAAATCTTAGAATGTTGCGCGTGAAAGAAACAAGTTCCAGGCCAAGCATGGTGGCTCCTTCCTGTAATCCCAGCTACTCCAGAGGCTGAGGTGGGAGTATTGGTTGAGGGGAAAAAAAGCAGAAACAAGTACCTGAATGCTACCTAGAAAAATATATAAATGTTTGTGGAAATAATCAAAACTAAACAACACTATTTAGGCACATATCTATGTGACAAGAATACATATTAAAATGCAAAGAAATAAGAAATATAAATCAGGATATTGGTTTCTTTGAGAGGGGAGGTTGGGGGACAAGATGTAATTTAAAATATCAGTAATATTCCAGTTCTTCTATTGGGTGCTGAATTCACAGGAATTTATTGTAATTAAGATGGGCAGATCGATAGATAAGCAGTCCTTTTAGAGGCCACGAAAACAATGTCAGGACGAAAGATTCTGTTCTATTCTCTGTACTAAGGGCTTTAAGAAAGCCAGGGGCTGGGCGTGGTGGCTCATGCCTGTAATCCCCAGCACTTTGGGAGGCCAAGGCAGGTGGATCACGAGGTCAGGAATTCAAAACTAGCTTGGTCAACATAGTGAAACCCCATCTCTACTAAAAATACAAAAATTAGCTGGGCATGGTGGCACATGCCCGTAATCCCAGCTACTCGGGAGACTGAGGCAAAATTGCTTGAACCGGGACCCGGGAGGCAGAGGTAGCAGTGAGTGAGGTCGCACCACTGCACTACAGCCTGGGCTACAGAGCAAGACTCTGCCTCAAAAAAAAAGAAGAAAAAAAAAAAAAAGAAAAGAAAAAGAAAAAAGAAAGAAAAGAAAAAGAAAAAAAAGCCAGGTGAAGATATAGTGCAGAGATATTTTGGACGTAGAATCAATAGGTTTCCAGACATTTTTTCCTCTTAAATTGGTTTTACATTAGCTCTGCAAAGAAGCCTCACTGTGTGAAGCCCACGTGCTTTTACATCCCGCGCTTTTTGCCCTTTGCCCTTGGCCGTCATTGCTTCCCTTCCAAAGGGAGGTGGGGTGACGCAAGGCAGTCGGGGCGGGGGAAACGGCCGGCGGCTCTAAAGCTCTCCGATTGGTGGACTGAGGAGCGAGAACGAGGCTCCAGCTGAAGCGTTGAAAAGAGGGACAAAGGGGGTGGGGCTAACGGAAGGCGGGGCTAAAGGAGCTTAACGGAATCGAGACGCAAGTGCAATTGTCCGCGCGCCTCGCTGCGATGGCCGCGGTGCCGAGCACAGTCACCCCGCTGGCGGCGGAGTCTTCCCCTCAGGAAGCTACCGTCTCTGCCGCCTCCTCCTCCTCCTACACCGCCTGCGAGGCGGCGGCGGCGGCGGCGGCGGCAGTAATTGTTCCTGCCTCCTCCGCCACCTCCGCCCCTGCCTGCCCGCCTGCCGGTGGCTGTGGCGACGGCGGCGGCGGCGGCTTTGGCTGCTCCACTATGGCGGCGGCGGGGAGGGGGGGCAGTAGTTTTAAAGTAGACACCCGCCCTTGCCTCAGAGAAGGTGAGTTCCCGTCCCGGGGTGCGGGGGCGGCCCCATCTCCTTCGCTGCCTCTCTTCAGCCCGTGCGAGATCGGGCTGGGCGCGGTTCGCCACTGCCCCACCCCCCACCTGCCGTGGCGCAGTAAAGGCCAAGCTCGCCCCGCCCCGCCCTGCCGTATTAGCCCCGAGTGTGCAAGATGGACTGAAGCAGAGAGGGCCTTCCCTACCTCTCCCACCTGTAAAGGATGGGGGACCCCAGGCAAAAGAATTGCAGGTACTCACGAAGCAGGAGTTTGAAGGGAAAAAAAATACCACATAATTTATCTCCCAGCCAGGACACCTTAGTGTGCTGTAGGAAGCTGAGGTGTGATTTGGAAGAGAAGGCAAGGTAGAAGTGCTGTGGGCCAAGAGGGTCAAGGATAAGGGAAGGGGGACCGATGGAGAAACGGGCGGAGATAAAAGAGGAAATGCCAAAGAAATAAGGGGGAGTAAACCCCCTTTTGGTGTTCAACGTCCTGTAGTGTAGAAACTTGAGGCAGAATATTTACAGAGATGGCGTTAGAAATTTGGGCAGGTCAGAAGTGTATAGGTTTAAAAGATCTGTCGGATTTTAGGAAGGTAAGGTCTGGTGGAGGGGACTCTACTAGGGAAAGAGGAAGAGTGTGACAGAAGTACAGATTTCAGGAATCACTTTGGAGAGTTTTCTTTGGCTATTTGAGAATGTGGCCTGGTAAAGCAAGGTTTACAGGTCCATCTTTAAGGTGGTTTGACTTTTAATAAGTTCTGTTGTACCTACCAACACATACTACTCCTAACATAAGATATTTCTTGACTGTATCAGTATAAGCGGTATTCACACAAAATTCTGTATACTTGTAAACAGCCTACTAATAGCAAACTGTAAAATTTGCCATTGAAATGTGTTTTAAAGCAGTTTGGGAAATGTTCTTAGCTGATGGAGACCATTCCACTGCAGAGCACCCCAGTAAAGCATTTTGCCATCGTAAATTTCGTAATTTCCAGAATTTGCTGTGTTACCTTATGTTGCTGACTTGCCTCCAAAGTGAAAGATTGTGGACACCAAAATAGAGGAAAATAAATTCCTTTTTCTTAGGAAGATACCCCATTAAAATTATCCCATAAAAATCTCTTCTTCACATTCTTCAATGATATGTCCCTGTGTGCTATTCCATAACCTTTTACACCTTTCGCTTTGGAGGAATGGCAAAGTAGGAAAAAAAAATCCCTTACAATATTTGTATAGGCACATTACATAAATGCCACTTATTAAATATGGAAGTTAGAAGTACACTGTAATTTATTTATCAACTCTCTTACTAAAGTCAGCCTTTGAAAGACTCCATTTAGTGTCTTCATTCATCCTCAGTGGATGGAAACACGAAATCTGGATTTTAAATTTTTATATCAACGTTTATGTCCATAACCAGCTAGTAGGCAAGAGCAGTTTTATAGGCCTCAAGATCACAATTCAATTTGGCTCTCATCGTCTGCTCACAGTAAGGTTTAAGACCAGTATCTCATGGAAAAAAAAAAATGGCTTTTTGCCTGGTGGTGTAACTGGTTTGTTTGCAGTATCTTTGAATATATGCAAATAGTAAAGGCTTTCAGAGAGCTAATTTCATAAAGTATGAGCAATACCTTACCTATATTATTGCGAGGCAGTAAAATGAGGAGCACCCTGGCATAGGAGTGTGATGCAGTTGACGTAGGTTCAGCTGCTAAGTAATTCACTGGACTTTGTGACCCTGAATAGGCCCCATGCCCCCTCGATTTGGGTTTTGACATTTTTGAAATAAGGGAATAAAACTACCCACACTCCGAGGGTTGGTTTCAGATCTGAAAGTATCAACCATGATTTTGCATTTCTGAATTGATATTCTTTCAATGACATTTCCATGGCTGTGCACTAGAACAATAACTCATAAATCGTAAGAAACCTGTTCTGATAGTTACCACCTGACATTCAGTGAATAATGAGATCTATGTTGAGTTAGTGTTGAGAAAATTTACTGGCATATGTAAAACCAAATATAATTGTTAACCTAAAAATTATCTCTTACTATTTCATTTTAGCTAAATGTCCTTCATTCACTATTCAATTCTCTCACCTTTTCACTTAACAAATGGCAAACATTTCATATATTGCACTGTTCCAAACACTATTAGGCCTCAAAATATTTTTGTTTATATGTATATAAAGGCCATAAATGGTTGTCAATTATGATGGTGGATAAAGGAGAAGAAAGGAAAATGTTACTTGATGGTGTACCAGTATCTTTTGCTTAAATCCTAGTTAAGAGATTGCTCTAAAAGATGTCAAAGAATTGTCAAGATTCAATTATTGCAAGTCCACTCCTTATAGGATGATTAAAAGTGGTTTGGAAAAGCATTTGCTGATCCATTTTGAACTGTAGCTGTTATTCTTGAGGATTTCATCTGTCTTGGGGTGAATAATGAACAAATGTCAGTGGACATTAGAAACTAGCAAACAGGGAATATTAGAAGCTTTCAAAGATTACAAATGGGACATTGAGCAGTAAAACTAGAAATAGAACAAAGAAAGAAAAGAAATGCCATATGAAAAGACACATATACACTCAGAATTCACAGTAAAGGGAATTACGAGATTTTGTGGGACACTTCATCTTTCATTTTTCAAAAATGTTTAATGGCTCAAAAATGAATTTTCACACAACAATAACATTCTGGTATATTCATAGTAAAAAAAAATTCTTGCTTATTTACCTCTTCCTTTTAAGAAAAAATATATCAAATGCATCCTGTTTTAGATTGGAAGACCTTCTGGCTTTTTATTTAGCTATTAATCCGTTTGTGTAGCAATTACCTAACAAGACTATCATTTGTCTCCATACTATTCAGTAAAGTTTCAAGTCGAATGATAGTAAGTCCACCATAAGAAAATCCAGTGGGTAGGCTGGGCGCGGAGGCTCACACCTGTAATCTCAGCACTTTGGGAGGCCGAGGCGGGCAGATCACGAGGTCAGGAGATGGAGGCCATCCTGGCTAACACGGTGGAACCCCGTCTCTACTAAAAATACAAAAAATTAGCCGGGCATGGTGGCACATGCGTATAGTCACAGCTACTCGGGAGACTGAGACAGAAGAATCACTTGAAGCCGGGAGGCGGAGGTTGCAGTGAGCCGCGATCGCGCCGCTGAACTCCAGCCTGGGCAACAGAGCGAGGCTCCATCTCAAAAAAAAAAAAAGAAAGAAAGAAAGAAAAAGAAAATCTAGTGGGTAACGTTTCATGTATTCAGGAATCATTTATTGAACACCTCTATGTGTGTGTGCCAGTCACTATGCTTAGTGTTAAGGATATACGGACAAACACAGCTATACTAAACAACTCAGTAATAGTGCTTGATAGTAAAATTATAAGATATTTAAATAAGCGAAGGAATGCAGTATTAAATGTTACTAGTCAGAATCCTGAGCCACAAGACCATTCCATTGTTTTATTATAAATCTGTACTCTGTAGCTCATAATATGTACTACAGGCACAGTAAAGCAAATTATACTGTAAATCTAATGTTGATGTGAGGGAAGAATAGTAAACTTACAGAATTAGTTTTTAATTCTCTGCATTTGGCAGGTTGAGATGTCTGGGGAGAGGTAAATTATTATTTGTTTGTTTCTGGCCCTCTTGTTAGATTTCAGTGTGTGAAAATACTAACTAAGCTTGTTTTAAAGACTAACCTAAGCATACCCCCTACTATATTTATTACATATCGGTTAGGATAAAAACTTTGATTCTTTCCCATCTGAAAGCAGCCTTGCAGATTCATTCACATTTACTAACCTGTTGGAATGAATGCCATGTATTTGGTGGCTTTCTGATGCAAAGTAGCTGTCATGTGATCAAGTGTATTAATGGATTTACACAGTACCTTAATTCAGTTTCTGACTTCACAAGCATGAACCCTGAGCTGGCTAGCCACAAAGTGCTTATGATTATGAAGGCAGAGGACTTGGTTTAAATAAAGACAATGTAAATGTTAAACATATAACTAGTACTCCCAATTATTTTGTTACTTCTGTTGTAATTTGTAATGGTTAAGATGCCATGGGAAACCCTTCATTATTTGTTTGATTGTGATAACTGTGTAAAGTAGCTAAAACTTGGCAAACTCATAAGTCAGGTGTTAATCTTACAAACTGAAAAACTAAGGACACTAGATAGCATTATAGCTGTGAGTGGCCATCATGCTGATAGGTACAGATCTGCATTTCTACCACAGCTATTATTCTTGAAAACTCCTTAAACAGAGTGTGACCTTTAGGGGAAAAAGAGTTAAAACATTTTGTGTAGGTTAACTCAGTTCCCCCAATCTCCTATAACTTAGTGCTGTGCTCTGCTCATTCTTTTCTAAGATTCTGATGGTATTAAAAGATTGCAAAGGGCAAGTCAGTTTTTTTAAAAAATTATATTTAATCAAGAATGCTTGAGGGAGTTTATCTCTAAAAGTGTAATCATGGAGAATATAGCACATGTGCTCTTTGCACAATTAAAATGATTATTTCTCAGGTTTTTTAATGCCTGACTTTAAATCTGTGACTGAGAATGAGATTTGTTTATGATATTGCAGCCAGTCCAGAAGTTTGCTCCATTTTTGTTACTTTATTAAAATAGGATATACAACGAATCCTTTACAATGCTAGATGTTTTTGTATCAAGATCAATTGGCCTGTGAACTTCCCACTTCAGCAAAGCATTAACACATCTAATAGCAAGTTTTTCCCATAAACATCTGACAGGTTATCCTGAAGAGGAAATTTGGGGTTTTATGCAACTCAACCTAATTGTCATTTAACAAATGCAAGTGAGATTCATTTTATTAAATATAGCCAGTTATATCTAAAATAGAGTCACCTAATTTGAATAGCTTAAACTTGGGGGTTAACAAAGAACATTTAATTGGAATGAACAGAGAGTTCTGTTGCCCGGAACTGAAGAAATATGGTAATTTTCTGGTTCCTTT